GAGTGTGTGTTTTTGCCGGCATGTGCTCCTTGAAACCCTTTCCTGTCTTGCTCCTTGGGTCACCTTGTTCCCTTTCCTTCACCCACTCTGCTTCCTCCTGTCCCTTGAACCTGGGAAAACAGCCATAGAATACAGTCCTCTACCCTCTGCTCCCTTGTGATCTGTGACGCTCTGTCTCTTGGTGTCTCTCATAGTTAAAATAGATAAAGTTATCATCATATTTATGCTAATGATTATACTTATTATATTTATGCTAATGATTATGTAATGTATTTTCAATTCTGACCTCTCACTCCACATTGTCCTCCACTCCTAGAAGTCTTGAACTTAATGTACCTGAAATGTGATGAGTCACTTCCTCTCTTAACTGGTTTTCCCTGCCAACTCCTCAGTCTGAAAACAAGATCACAACTCTGGATCTAGGTAAGTATTATTAAAGACATCTTCAGTTCTTTGCTTTCTTTTTTAAGTCTTCCTCAAAGAGTAGTCTCAGAACATGGACATAGGGCAACTTCTACCTGTGACTTGTCTTACCCTCTGGTAGTTGGAATCAACTGAAAGCTGGGATCCATCATTGGACATTTTTCTCAGCCAGGTTGATACTCAATTCCTGGCATTTACTTATTTGAAGATAATCATTATTTTTGAAGTTTCATATGTAGAATGCATTATTTTATTAATGAGAAAAGCATAAACTTTTTGTTCCTATAAGCATATATTTTCCGATTTTAAAATACTCTGAGAGACATTGGACACATAAATTATTACTTTATATTTAAGAAATTTGGCAATGCATCTCAAAAATCATGAAAAAAACTAAACCATTTGATATAATAAAATTCTAAGAAAAGGAAAAGATAGCATCCAAAAGGTGTTCATTATATGTCCATGGAAAAATAGAAATCAACCTAACACTTAAACAATAGGAAATGGCTCGCCGCATTATGCTTAAGAAATGATCAGTTTTGCTAGAGTATTATGGAACCACTAAAAATTAGCATTATTAAAATTATGTAGCAACATTGAAATACACAGAAAAAAGCATAAATTGAATTTCTGTTATGACTATAGATATTTTAAAAACAGGCACACATTTTGCAAGAATGAAAAAATATGGAAAAATTATTTTAAGATAATAGAATCTGAATAATTTAAAAAGTTTATTTTCATCTCTTCATTATTTCAAAAGGCTGCATGGTAAGGTCAGTGGCTTTTAAAATTTTTTGGCTATGTCTATGGTGGAAAACATATTTTATATCACCAACTAGTGTACATGTATACACACAGAGACTCAGGTATATAAACCACTGCATTACTTTATCATTATATATCTGTAATTTTCCACATTTAACATCGCTAACATCTCTAAATTGGGATGCATATTACAATCGATGGACTCTTGTAACAGTGTTTTTTCTTAATGTTATATAAATTAATGGTGCATCTCATGATCAATGATTTCAGATTTGATTAAATATGGTAACAAAGTTTCATAACACAATTACCACAGGTAATGCACTGTAATATTTTCTCTCTTCATCTTTTACGCTCCATTTTGTATCTTTTTTCAGTTTTTGAATGTTGAAAGTGACACAGTAAATTGAGTTTTATAATTCACTCATGTAGAGGTTGGAAAATTATCACTATGTTTTTGTATGGCTCATGAATTAAGAATTTCTTTTACATTTTTAAGCATTTGAAAAAAGAAAAAGAATATTTCCTGATAGGTGACAATTTTAAAAATTCTCATTTTTATTTATTTATTGAATGTTTTATTTTTATTTTAGCTTATTTTCATTTATTTATTTATTTTTATTTTGACAGGCAGAGTGGATACTGAGAGAGACGGAGAGAAAGGTCTTCCTTTTGCCGTTGGTTCACCCTCCAATGGCCGCTGAGGACGGCACGCTGCGGCCGGTGCACCGCGCTGATCCAAAGCCAGGAGCCAGGTGCTTCTCCTGGTCTCCCATGGGGTGCAGGGCCCAAGTATTTGGGCCATCCTCCACTGTACTCCCTGGCCACAGCAGAGAGCTGGCCTGGAAGAGGGGCAACCGGGACAGAATCCGGCGCCCCGACTGGGACTAGACCCGGTGTGCCGGTGCTGCAAGGCAGAGGATTAGCCTAGTGAGCCACGGCGCCGGCCCTATTTATTTATTTTTAAAAGGAATTTATTAATACATTAGATTCTCAGGGTCACAATAAATACATGATACAGTTTTCATCAAATCTCATGTTAATGTGGTATTAATACAAACAGAACAGTTTCAATGTAGTTTCCAGATACAATTCGAAGAATATATGATACTCCACTTCCTCCTTCTTCCCCTCCCCACCCCTTGCTTTCTTCTTTCCTTTCTTTTTCCCTTCTAATTTTAGTGTCATGAAGTTTTATTGGAATCCATTCATTCACTCATTTACATATTCTCTGTATTTGTTTAGGTCATCATTTATATATTGTTGTGAATAAATGAATATGAGGAGTCTTCAAAAAGTTTATGAAGTGGCCATTATCCTTTAATTCCATTTTCTATGGACTTTTTAAACACCCTCATATATATTCATTCTACTCCCATGCTCTGTGGCAGATTTAAGCATTGTGATAGAGATCACAAGGCTACAAAGCCTAAAATACTTGCTCTTTGGCCCTTTACAGAAAATGTTTGCAGACCTCTGCACTAAAAGAGTATAATTCACTGTTTAAGCACATCAGATGTAGTAGCAGGAGCACAGAAATGGAAGATCTGGATGTGAATTCTAGCATCATTGTCGATATTATCTTTGCATTGATAAAACAGATATAGCAACCACCTCATAGGGTAGCTGTGAGTTTTGTGTGATCACTGGTCTATAGTAGGTGCTCGGTGAATGTTTTTTAGCTCTTTCCTTTTAAATTTTACTTAAAGGATGTCTGTCATGCTTCTTTATACGGTCAGTAATGATGACTACCATGCTACTACCCCCTGCCCAGGGCAGTATTGAAGACAAAGCATGAAGTGGTCTTCTGTTGACTGTGACGTTTTTGACATTTCACGTTATTCTAAAAATTCAGGAAGATTTTCATTTTATTCCCCAGTATACTCACCTCTATTTGTGTCAGCATAAAAGTAAATGCCAGCATTGTGGCATAGCGGGTAAAGCCACTGCCTACCATGCCTGCATCCCATGTGGGCACTGGTCCGAGTTCCAGCTGTTCCACTTCCAATCTAGTTCCCTGCTAACGACCTGGGAAAAGCAATGGAGGATGGCCCAAGTGCTCAGGCCCCTGCTAACTAAGTGGGAGGCCTGGAGGAAGCTCCTGGGTCTTGGCTTTGGCCTGGCCCAGCCGTGGACTTTGTGGCCATATCGGTAGTGAATCAGCAGATGGAAGATCTCTCTCTGTCTCTCTCTCTTTCTCTGTAACTCTGACTTTCAAATAAATAAATAAATCTTTTACTTAAAAAAATAATTATTAGATTGAGTCGAATCAATTCCCCTTTAAGATTTACCACTTTTGTGTAAGATTCACTGTCTTGCTCACTGCGTCATGTCACGTTCCCCAGCCTGAGAAGCGCTGGGCTTTGTGATGAGATTTGTTGTTGTCATCGTCGTTGTCATTGTTTGAAAGCCCTTCCTTTCCAGAGCCCACCTTTCTTGTATGGGTGCAATTAAGCAGGAGTGAAAAATGACCTCCACGGCTATTGTCATTAAGGGTCTGGCATATCCAGCACATCCCAGGTGTGTGTCTACCAATAAAAACCAAACACTCATCTTCATCAGTCGGAACCTTTCCTAGCCACTGCTAAAGGTGGCTGACACAATTGTGGAGTTCTTTCCTTTTCTTTATTCCATGCCAAACTTTTCCTTCTCTTCATTCAAACTAAAAGTTTTTACTAATTCTTTCTTCTGATGTTAAAACCGTTGATTGGCCTACAGCTATGTTTTTCAAAGCGTATCCCATAAATGACAAGTGGTTTTGAAAAATCTTGGGTTAAGCAGAGTTGAACTGTTTATTCTTGCAGGACTTCTCAGAGTCTGTGTGCTTTGATGTACATCATGAACCTCTATAAGGTGAACCTGCTACGTGTCTTAAACTTAGTGAATGCCTTTTATTTCTCAGGGAATCTCTCAGGACTCACAGGGGTAGCAATGCTGGACTCCAGTCCTCTTGCCTTCATGTCCATTAAGTCTTGATTACATTATAGTTCCTATCCCTAAATTCTGCCTGAGATGAGGAAATCCCATTTTGTTAAAGTGACTTATATAATAAAGATAATCTCACGTGCTTTATATTGAATTCACTTACTTATTAAAAAATATTTTATTTTTAAATTTTGTTTTAAAATAAATTTAAAATAAAATAAAATTTAATAAAATAATTATTAAAATTATTAAATAAAATATTTTATTAATATTTATTAATTTTAAATGATTTTATTTATTTATTTGAGAGGTAGAGTTAGAGAAAGAGAGAAAAAGAGATAGAAAGAAAGTTGCTCCATCCACTGGTTCACTCCCCAAGTGGCTGCAATGGCCAGAGCTGAGCTAATCCAAAGCCAGGAGCTAGGAGCCAGGAGCCAGGAGCTTCTTCTGAGTCTCTCATGTAGGTACAAAGCCCCAAGTACTTGGATCTTCTGCTGCTTTCTCAGATGCATTAGCAGAGAGCTGGATCAGAAGTGGAGCAGCTGGGACATGAACCAGTGCCCAAATGGGATGCCGGCGCCATTAGTGGAGGCTTAGCCTACTATGCCACAGTGCTGGCCCCTCTTATTTCTTAATTTAATTTACTTTCTTAATTCTGATGAGACCACGTGTGTGTATGTGTGTGTGTGTGTACACATACATACATATACATTTAAAACTAAAAAGTAATAAACATATTTGAGGGAAAAACTAACAAAAGAAAGGGTTAGCCATATCTTCACTATCTCAATGCAACCATGAGTAAAATATGTAAGAATTTATTTTGTATACTCTTATTATTTCTCTTCAAGAACTTAACAATGAAGAAAATAGCATCTTACCTGAATCATTACTTGTGCTTAGTTTTCATTGTTTTAGAATTCATGCCTTGCTTTAAAGTCATCAATGTAGAAATAAATGCTGAGAGGTTGTCTAATCCTTCTTCATACATCCAGAAAACATGGTGCCCCATGCTTCTAAAATTTGATCACACATTATTATATTCAAAGCATCTGTAGGAAAGAGAAAGACATGAGACACAAGTTATTCCCACTGGTAATTCTTGCATGCACCTACATCCTCTCCCACAATGGTCGCCTCTTTCAGTATTTGGGTAAAGAGGATCATGTCTAAGTCTTGATCTAAGTCAGTCTTTGTGGCCTCTCTCTTGCTCCCTGACTGCTATCCAAAGCTCCCAGGGTGCTCCTGGGCTTCTGCTCATTTCACTGTTGGTCACTGGATAGAATTCTGGTCACTGCAGTGACAACTGGCTTCACCAGGGGGTCATATTAGAGAGCCCTTACTGTTCTACTGGGTATTTTCAGGTTTTGACTTCAACATAAACAGGAAGCAATGTGAAATTTACAATTTTGTAAGACATAACTTTCTCATAAAATCAACTTCCCCATCACTGGGAACTTCTCAAGCCAGGCTTGCTTCTCATTCTGTAGATGCCAGCTTAACACTGACAAATGATTGCTGTTTTCAGTGCAAAGCAGTTTATCCATCTAACCCAGTGATTCTCAACTGGGAAATGTTGCCTCTCCCCCAGCACATTTGTCAATATCTGGAGACATTTTGAGTGATCATGGCCGGGGCAGGGAGGTACTACTGGCATCTAGTGGATGGAGCCAGGGATGCTGCTAAACATTCTACAATGCACAGGGCAATCTCCCACAACAAAGACTTTTTTTTTTTGTCTGTAGAAGCTGGTGTTTATTTTCCTTCAACCTCATTTCCATGTTTGCGTGAGAGACCGTGACAAGCAGCCTAAGACCACTCAGTGGTTGTTCCCACCCACCCAGTGGCCTGAGCAGTGGGCGCTGCAGACCAGTCTTCAGTGGCGGGCTGAGCACTCCAGTCTTCAGTGGGGAACTGCTGAATAGGCACAGAGGGCACCTGCACACCTTCAGACCAGCAACCTTCAGTTGCAACCAGCCTTCAGTCAGCAACCCCAGGCTGAGTAGCAGTGAACTCGGGCGCTGGGGCTGTCCATTCACCCTGAAACTCCTCCTTGGTCACAGCTTTTTCAGCGGCGGCCTGCTCTTCTTTTTCAATCTCTTCAGGATCTCTGTAGAAGTAGAGATCAGGCATGACCTCCCAGGGGTGTTCATGGGAGATGGTACCATGCATGTGCAGAACCTCCCAGGCCAGCATCCACCACATCAGACCCACTGAGTGGGCTCCCTTGTTGTTGCATGGAATGGCAATGTCCACGTAGCACAGAGGAGAATCTGTGTTACACAGAGCAATGGTAGGCAGGTTCACGTAAGATGCCTCCGTGAGAGGCTGGTGGTCAGCCCGAGGATTGGTAACCACCAGAAGCCGTGGTTCCCCGAAGGCTGCCCGGATCTGGTTAGTGAAGGTTCCAGGTGTGAAGTGGCCAGCAATGGGAGTAGCTCCAGTGGCAGCAGCAAACTTCAGCACAGCTCTCTGGCCAGTGTTCCTGGAGGATATCACACTGACATCAGCAGGGTTTTCAACAGCCACAATTGCACGAGCCGCCAACAGAAGCTTCTCCCAGGTCCTCTTCAGATTGATGATGTAGATGCCATCAGTTTTCCTTTTGTAGATGTACTGTTCCATCTGGAAGTCAAGGTTGGTGCCACCTAGTTGAGTTCCTGCTGCAAGGAACTTGAGGACGTCCTCCTCCTTCATTTGCAGGACATCAAGGGCTCCGGACATTGTGACAGCTTCCCTTTAAGTTATGCTAGGAATCAAAAACAACACCGTATGTACCCCTCGCCTGGTAGCACAGAAAAGCCCACAACAAAGACTTAATCAGCTCAAAATGTCGATAGTGTGGAGTTTAGAAACCCTGCTCTGACTTTAACCTACTCCAACCAACCTAGAAGATTGGGGCAATGTGTCTCCAAATCCAGAGATTTGTAGCAAACCTTTATTTCAAAAGGTTTCAAATGATTGCTCTTTTGCAAGCATATTCTGATTCATTCTTGAGAAAGGTTACTATGCCTACCAACTTTTTGAAAAGTTAAAGAAGAAGAAAGATCCATTCTTCCCTTATTCAGGAAAAGTCTCTTCAGGGTAAGGATATTTTATTCCAGTTACCAATATATCTTAAGTTCTTGTAAACATTTCTTCTTCTAAAGCCTTATTGACAGGGACACTGTCAGAGTTGGAAAACCATGGGTTGTGCCTGTTACTGGGTGACTATAGCTGCAGATGTCAGAGGATTAGTGCTATGGTTAGAAGATGGCTCATCTTTGTAGGTATTTCTTTAGGGTATTGTGCACAGCACAGCATGAGACTTGTCCTATTCCCTTGTAATTTCCTAGTTATCTGTGGGATTCCAACACACCCTCCACCACACCTCTCTTAATTTATAAATTCCTTATATGCATCTCTAATCCCAACACAAAGCCTAGACCATAGAGGAGGTTCAACAGTGGTTAACTAAATAAACACATGAATCATTGCTCAGTAAAATCATATAGAAATGAAAGAATATAGTCCAAGTTGAGGGTGAGGGTAGAGGATAAAGAATGACTTGCATTAATATACAAATGTGGGAAAGAAATCTGGAAAACAAACAATAAAAGTCACATGAACATAGTTTCACAATATTCCTTCCTTTAGAGTGATTTTTATTTTTATTTTTAGAATTTTTGTTTGTTTTCATGTTATTTGAAATAGAGAGAGAGAGATCTTGCATCCACAGGTTCACTCCCCAAATATCCACAACAGCCAGGGCTAGGCCAGGTTAAGGCCAGGAGCCTGGAACTCAATCCACATCTCACATGTGGGTGGCAGAGATTCATCACCAGCTGCCTCCAAGGGTCCCATTGGCAGTAAGCAAGAATCAGAAATGGAGCCAGGAATCTAACCCAGGTACTCCAGTATAGGATGTAGGCATCAAAAGCAGTGTCTTAACTTGTGCCAGACACCCAACTCATGAGAGTAATTTTACAAAAAGTATTTTTTGAAAAAGAACCCTTTTTAAAAAGTAATTTTAAAATCTATATCCATGGTTCCATTTACTCAGAGACACAAAATGGGAATTCTAAAAGATACACGTGTAGGGGCTGGCACTGTGGCATAGCGGGTGAGGCTGTCACCTGCAGTACTGGCATCCCATTTGGGCGCTGGTTCAAGTCCCAGCTGCTCCTCTTCCAATCCAGCTCTCTGCTATGGCCTGGGAAAGCAGTAGAAGATGGCCCAAATCCTTGGCCCCTGCACCTGCATGGGAGACCCAGAAGAAGATCTAGGCTCCTGGCTTCAGATTGGCACAGCTCTGGCCATTGATCCATCTGGGGAGTGAACCAGCAGATGGAAGACCTCTCTCTCCCTCTCTCTTTGCCTCTGCCTCTCTGTAACTCTGCCTTTCAAATAAATAAATAAATCTTTTTTTTTAAGTATGTGTATAGCTACAAATGTATTTTAATTGTATTTGGGACCTGTAAGGATCTCAAACTTGAGTATGTATCAGAAATGTGTGGGGAATTATTAAAATACAGAGCTCCAGGCCCAACCCCAGAGATTTTGAACAACATAATGTGAAGCCCAGAACATAGCATTCCAAAGAAACACCAGATATTTCTGATGAAGTTCATTTGGAGTCTCCTTTTGAGAAATATTCTTTGATATTCATACACTGGGGTATGTTATCTAAAAGGAGAGTTATCTAAAAGTAAGAACAGTGATGATATTAATACTCATTTCTAGATCTCAGCCTTGTGCTATTTATTCTTATTTGCTAGTAAAATGTGAAGTAGTAATGCTGAGCCCTGGAGTGGTCCGAAATATTATGGACTGGAGAGGGGATAAGTCTACAGATTGATCTACCTCTGTTTAGGGGAAAGAGTTAATTAAAAATGGATGAGAAAAAAACAAACAAACAAAAAAATGGATGAGAAGGCAGATGGAAACTTCTTAAATGAGAATTTTGAGTGCTGGAAGAGATTTTAAGGGGAATTGCTGTCATTGTGAATTTTATCTAATTTTATGTCACAGCACAAGATTTTACATGTCCTTTAAAGTGCTTTATTTATACTACTCTTAGTTCAAAAGTCATCAATTGATCTAATGAAGCAAAATAAAGAGGGAGGAAAGAATAATAAAAGAGAGTGGAGAGAAGTCTTCTTCCCTCCTATACCCCCAATAAACAGCAAAGGCTGGTATTAAAAAAAAAAAAGGAAAAATAGAACACAATTAAAGAAAGCCAGCTTAGAATTCATTTGTGAGAGCAGGAGTCCAAACTGTCTATATGTAGTCTTTCCCTGTAAGGTGAAAACAATGGAGAGGAAAGGGGAACACCAACAAAAAGTCCAGTTCAACAGGAGCTGATGTGCTAGACTCCTAAGAGGCCTGAATCCTTTCACCTTGCAAGGTCCCCTGCTATGGACTGAATATTTGTCCCAAGCCTTCCCCACCAAAACTCATGTTGAAGCCTAATTTATAAGACAATGGTTTTTGGGGTGGGGTCTTTGGGTTAAGTCATAAGGGTGAAGCCCTCATAAATGGATTAGTGCTCTTATAAGAAGAGGCAGGGAGAACTTGTTTCCTCTCTACTCTAAGAGGACACATAGAACTGAAGGCACAAGGACCGCTTCCGAACCCATGGCTCATTTTCCATACTTCTCACTCAACATCTATATAAGCTCCAGAGAGAGCATGGACTTTGTTTTGCTCACTGCTCCATCTTCAATTTTTTCTAATTGCTTAGAAATGAATTACTTGATGTTTTGAATAAAAGATTATGAAAACAAACACCAAATCCAACATCTTGGGATCTCACAGCCAGGAAGGAAGATGTTGATCTAAGCAACAGGCAGTGAATTCTGAGAGAGACAGCTGGAAAAATATTAAGACCACAGCCTTATGGTAAGCTTTGTTTTTCTTAATTTCTGTTATAAACACATTTGATCTGATAAAAACTGAGTTCTAGGAGCTCTTAGTATATTATATGCATGCATGCAGAAGTTTAAAGCAACAAAAGTCAGTGATCTATATGTTAAGGACAAAGAAAAATAGTAAGTAGCTTGATTATAATGTT